TCAGGAGTGCTACTAAAATAAATGGTTTAATTCAAAATGTTACACCAAGCTCACTTTATTGATAGATTCTAATACCGATGAAATGAATAAAAAATGAATGATAATAAATATTCCCCCTCCCCAGACTAAGTCTTACTCATTAATATTAAAAATCAATGCTTTAAACAAAAGTATTTAAATTAACTTTATTTGGTACTTATATCAATATTTTAAAGTTGAAATAATTCCTGATCCCCGTAAACCTAAACCCCCTCCCCCAACTAAGAGTGATAATTTTTACAATCAAAAGATATTTTAATTACCTTTTATTTGATACCCATATAAATATCTTACCCCCCCCCCCCCTTCCCCCAGACCAAGTCCTATCTATCAAGACTTGATACCCGTATCAATATTTTTCTTTGATAAAATTTTCCAGACCTCCTAGATTCCCCCATTACTGAAAAATGTTGACATCTCTGAATATATCTTTTGATTAGTCGATTGTTACCCTATATTCGATATATCTACTTTCAATGGCACAGCTCTACATGACAGTATATTTACTGGATGCCCCCTCAAAAATATATATCTACCCCCCATATACCAAAATGTTATCCATAGATAATTTAAAAATGTAATGGATAATTTTCTAGATTATTATAGCCACCCCTAACCCTACCCCTTACCCCTTTATAGATATTAGGATGCAAACTGTTCCTACCCCCCCCTCCCCGCTTATGTAGACGCTGCATAAGCACCCCAAAAACATATAAATAAATAACAATAATGTTTAAAAAATAAAGCAAAACGCGCATAAGACGCGTTGTAAATTAAGATTAGCCTTTATCATGGTCCTAACGTGAATAATTCTTTATCCTTTGAATAATTGAATTCTTAAAGGGATGCCAAACCAGTGATAATCCCGGTTAGTTCTGATCCCATTAAAAAATTACGCTATATATAAAAAAATAAATATACATATTAAAAAAGATGAGAAGGTAGACCTCTAGTTGATAGCACCTTTGATTGAAATACACTGTGACATACATATATCAATTGATATCCAATTTTAAACTTTTAAAAATATTAGCCTTTAAACAAGAAAACGGCTGATTAACCATTGTGCACACACCCAAATAGGGAATTTATAAAAATTATATGAGTAAATAATTTTTAGGTTAGCTATTTATTCACCGATAGCAGTGGCGTAGCTGGGAATTTTCCTTGGAGGGGGGTCCATAGTAGAGGTCATCATTGGGCGGGTTTTTGGATCAAAAGTTTGCCCATCCAATAAAATATATACCAGTCCGCTCGCCCGCCCATTGGTCTAAAAGTTTTTACCCGCTTGCCCATTATTTATAAAAAATTTTTAACCCAAGCCCGCTTATAATAGACAAAAATGTGTTTATTTATTCTAAGAAAAAAAGTTTTATTGTTGTGTTCATTACATAATATATAGTTAGGTAAATGTTCTTCACTTAAAAAAAAAAACGATTGGTACAATAAAAAAAAAAGAAATATCGTTATAGATCATTTAAACAATTATTTTTTTTTAGCAAAAATTTTAAATTTCCTCCCGCCCGCCATTACCCGCCCATTCGCCCGCCCACTTAATGGGCGGGCGTGGGCGGGCGAGCCGAAACCCTGCCCAATGCAGACCTCTAGTCCATAGGGTTTATCTTAAAAAATCATATTCGTTTTTCTTATAATACAAAAGTCCTAGAATTATTGATAATTAGTGTTGTTAAACGGCTCGATTTGAGCCGATTTTTATAAACAGCTAACTCGATATTTTAGCCAAAAAAATATTGCTCGAGCCTAGAGATTTCACGAATAATGTCTAAACCTTTGTATCCATCCATGACCAAAATTCCTTCCACAAACATCAAAACCAGAAAAATATAAATATTATTTATTTGATATAAAGTCACTTTTGAGTCTTTTGAACGTATAATCTAAAAAAAATTGTTCTGAGGGGTGGTCCAAACCCGAACCCCCTTCTCACCCCATAGCTACGCCACTGACCGATAGGTTCGGGTTGGTCTTGAAAGATTTTTATTTATATAAAATAAGATGGAATGATAAAAATAATCAATTATATATTTATTTATTTTTTTTTAAGGGTGGGGGGTATAAATTGAATATACACTATTGTTACTTTTAAATTTGCAACAATATATATAAAAGCATATAAACTATGATATTCATAAATTACATGAAAAAAAGATTATATGATTTCCATATTGAACAACTCTATATTACTTTAAACTACATTATCTACCGAGTTTAGTTTATGAATAAAATTTGATTTTGATGCTTATTATAAAAAAGCTCATCATTTTTATTTTTAAATTGTATGATATTTACGAATAAATATCTTTATTTTGTATTAAATATTATATATGTTCGCCAAATAATGTCTACGAATATTTATTTATAAACTCATAAAAATAACTAGTCAATTTTAAAAATATTACTACAAAATATATATCTTTTTAATTTAAAAATAAATCTTTAAAAAAACGATTTGAAAAAAAAAAACTACTTATCTGTTTAATCGTATGTAACAAAAATTAAATATTAATATCTAACTAATATTCCAATTCAAAAAAAATAAAATTATATATAACAAAAATCAGTATTCCGGTTCAGGAATAATCTTCAAATATATTTTTTTAGGCCGATCAGTAAAATATTTAATAATAAATTGGTGAGAAGCACCAATTACCCGTGCCTAATCTCTATTTATTGCTCACCCTTAAAATTTGTTAAGAAAACAACCATCCTGGCCCGACATTTTTTTTAAAACTGTTCATGAGCAAAGTTGCCAGGTCTCCCCCTATCATAATGAGACTCCCACAATTTTTTTTTAGTTTACACACAGACTTCTCCACCCTAGAAAATTGTCGCAATGGTAAATCTCCCGAAAAAATTTAAATTTTTCCCTTATTTGAATTTGTTAACACATTTCTATAGCTTTTTCCGAATTATTTTATCTTAATTTATCAGAAGATATACCAAATCACTTCATAATTTTTTTTTTTACTGTTTATAAGTGTATACTTGTATAAACCTAATCTAATATTACTATTCGTATTGGCCGAGCCTTTTCAAATCGAATATTTGTATTATTAATATTCATACGAATCGAATAATTCTTTATTTGTATTCGTACAAATAATTGAAGCATTATTCGATTTGATTCGTCTAATATTCGACTAAAAAATAAAATTCTTTCTAATATTTTCGAAAATGACAAAAATAAAACTAAAATTTTTTTTGAATTAATCTTTGAAATTTTATTATTTTTAAAAAAAAAAATCTGTGATTCCATCATTGCAGGAATTTCCTAGTGCATGAAAATTATAAATGTTTAACTTATAAATAAAAAACAGTTTCTTTTTTCAGACTCTGGACAAATAAGATTCGGCGAATAATATATTTCCTTTGTTTTTTATATTTGTAAAATACGATTCAAATATTTGAATCGAATATCGAGAAACGAATTATCTGTTTTAGGTATTACAAAAATTAATGTTTTTTATATCAAAAATAATAAACATTTATGTTAAAAAAACTTGTTTTCGACTTTAAATTAACATACTAATAAAAATTACATCCAATTTGATATATTTATTTTATTGTTAAAATTTAATGTTTATTTTTACCAAAAACGAAGATATATTTATGGTACAAACAAAAAATGTGTTTGGTAAGGTATTTAATTTACTTATAAATAATTAAAAATAAAGTTTATTTTATATTTGCCGTTCAGATATTTTATACCTTTAAGTATTAATACACATTTTGGGCCATATTTTTTTTATTTTATATAATCTTGGTGAAGCATATTTGAGTCGAAGAAATTCCAAAATCTTAGATTGATTTTGATAAATTTCAAAAAAGATGCGTTCAAACATGAATGAAAAATATGTTACAATCCCGAAAACTGGATGACTAGATCTTGCTCGTGAATTAAAATATAATCTTGATCCTAATGAGATGAAATCCGAATAGGCTAAAAAAAATAAAGCGTGGACTTTAGTTCTTAAAATTTAATTACTTAAGATATTTTACCCAATATATTTTTTCAATATGCTAAGTGAACGCCCAAATTTGATATTAATCCCCCAACCCTATATCTAATCCCAACCAAATAAGCTATTGAATTCGGTTAAAATTTAGATAGATTATTTGCTTGTCAAGGGACTACATACACTCACCCATTTCTATCACAAAAATTTGATTTATTAATAAAAACAGTAAAACTTATCTAATTTAATCAACTGTCTTAAGAGATTTTGCTCAACTTAGACAGTTGCCCAATTTATCAAGACTTTATATTTTTTTTATAGATAATAAGAGTTAATAGGGAATTTGATTGGAACTCAAACTTTTGGTCAAATTATTGGAGCTTCCCCGAATTATAAATAGCACCAAATTTGACAGGTTTTTCTTATTTTATTTAAATTTGAAAATTTAAGGAGGATTACCATGTAAAATTAGGTAATATTAAATTATTTCTTTTGTTTTTTTTTATAAAGGAAATAACTTTTTAGCATAAAAATTTAAAGAGAGGATTTTATCTATAGTTAAGGAATATTAAATACATCCTTATTTATTTTATTTTTTTCTTAGATTTATAAAAACATATATTTTTCATTTTATATATTTTGGGCCAATAATATTATTTGATTTGAAATTTATTGAGCATGTCTAGAAAACACATTAAATTATCGCCTTATCAAATTATTTTTACATTTTACATGATGCATATGTCTGATAATAGGCAAAAATATATGAAAAAAAACAATATGAATTTTTAACTTTATCCATTTTTATTTTTGTAACTCTATAAATAAAACTATCTTAGCAATACAAATATAATATTAAAAATATATTATTTTTCATTACATTATTTATTTTCAAAAACAATAATAATTTATATGTTTAAAAAAAATAATATTTATGTATTTTAGGATAAAAATATTATATTTTTCATAAATTAATTTTTACTCATTTTAAATAAAAAAATTTTTATAATTTAAAAAAAAATGAATAATTTTTTGGCTTTTCTATCGACTTTTGTTATAATTTTTGGGACTATTAAAAGTAATTAGTAACCATTATATTTTAACAATGTGATTTTTTTTTAAAATTTATTAGGTCTGGAATGTGGCTCAGGAAGTAAATAATTTTTAATTTTATATACGAATTTATTTCTAACGTTTATATCTTTTTTTGTTAATAGTTGATCAATCGGTGGACAAAGGTAAATCCAACTTTAGTTATATATTTCAACTTGATTAATAGTAAAATTTTATAATCATTAAAATGAGAAGTTAAATATGTTTTATTATTTTATGATATATCCTTTGAAAACTATATGCATATTTTACTGGAGCAAGGACAAATTCTTTAAAGAATTAAGGTGGGTGACAAAGATATGAGAGAATACACTCTATATTTTATAATTTAGTTTTGTTAGTTTACATTTTTTTAAACTTCATTTAAATTTATCCAGTTTTTTAAATATTATTTGTGATTAATTATATAATATAATGTTTTAATACTTCAAAAATAGTAACAAAAAGTAAATCATTATGAAAAATATTAACTTAATGATAAAAAAAATAGTGAAATAATAGTATTAAATTTATTTTACTTTCCCTAAATATATAGAGATATTAAATTTATCATATATAATTAATAATTATGAAAATATAGAATTTATAATATAGGTGTAGCCAGAATTTTGACAAGAGGTGGTAGCATAATTGGGTTGGTTTTTTTCCCCAAAATTTTATTAGAAGTTTAAATACACATATTGCAGGCCTTTGGTTATATTACAATTTTTTTAAAGAATAATTTTTGGATTTTATTTTTATATAAAACACATTTTTATAATAACTCTCTTACTTAATTTTCTTTTAAATAATTGTGATATAGTATTATATTTTTTGGGAATGAAAGGGAGAAATTATTTATGAACTTAAATTGATATTCATGATAACAGGTAAATTTTAGAAGGATGTGTGGACTGTGGAGGTCCCCTGGTTACGTCTATATAATGTTAAAAATAAAAAAATATTACAATTATCAATATAGAATAATATTACAAAACTAAATTTAAAAAATAAATTACTTAAAATAATATTGATGAGGAAGAAAAGAATAATTCTAAATCTAGTTATTGGAGAATGACTCTTCAGAGAGTAAATGAGCTAAAATGAGAAAGTTGCACGTTCAATATTTTATTGGCTATTCTCTTCCTAAGATAGAAAACCTTCATTGAGTAATAATTTTTTGGTAGAGATTAGTTTGCCAAAGTTTTATTTTAAAGAAAACATTGGCATCAGCACCAAATGTGATGAGAAAGCTAAAGATATCTATTTGTTTATTTTTAAAATTATAAACATGTTTTTAGCTCGAAATGTAATGATTTGCAAAGGTAAGCTACCCATTTTAATTTATCTCGATTATTTGATAATATGAATATATATTAAATAATTATAATAGGCGAAGTGTGTGAACAAAGAAGTATTACATGAATAATATCATAAACTTTATTTACATTATACAATCGAAATAATATTTAGTTTTAGATGGAAATATTATAAATAGAACAACAGGTATTAAATTATTTTCAAGTTGTGAATTGAAAAATCACACTTTGAATGATAATTTGCTCTATTTCACTATATTATTTATAAATCTTTAAGCTTGATTTTTTTTTAAAAATATGTTGTATGTAGTAAATTTCACAGAAGATCTACAAAGTGAACATTTTAATAAGCATAAGAATTATGATTAAAAATATTATTTATAGATAGCTTATATTATTCGGATCATTTATTAGCAAGTATATATTATATTCTGACTTAAATTTCATTTATAATATTTATTTTATTTAAATATATTTTAAGATAATAAATTTCAAATGGGAATAAGTAAATTTTAAAAAGATATTATTATTATGTAATAATTATAATAATGAATTAGACTTGACAAATGAACTCCTTACTATTAACATAGGTATTTAAATATTTTTAGAAATTAATTCTATAGCACAAATAATAATATAGAACAAAAAAATAGACCTGGAGGTAAAATGTAGTTTTTTATTCAACATGAAGATGTAAAGTTTCTTCTTATTCATCATGTTAATTTCAAAAATTATGGGGTCTTGGAATAAAGTTTTATCATTCCATATGGCTAGATTTGCACCTTGTTAACTTCAATTTTCTAATTCAATATGTCCTTGCAAATTTGAGAAGTTCAAATTAGTTGTGTTACCTCTAGTTCATCACTTTGCGATCTAGAACTTTTCAGTTCATCATTTTTGTTGAGTCTCTCACATGCCCATGCTATCTCAGTCTGATCACTTTTACCTCTTTCGACAAAGATGTTATACACATCAAATTTCTTAGAATCATTTGTTACTATCTAGCTTGCTGCGTCTTAGGCTCCATCGGATTATTTTCATTTTTGTTACATCTACATTTTCTTCTAGGAAGCTTGTAGTGCTCATAGACCCAAAGAGCAAGACTGATCTGACATAGTTTGATATTCTTTATCTTTGAGTCATAGTGGCATCTTCCTGATTCAAAGCACTTCTGATACATTCCATTTCATCCATCCCTTTTGTATTAACCATTGACCTTATCATGGCAACACCCATGTTAATGGCTTGTAGACCAAAAATATTTAAATGTTTCTACTTTCGGGTAGCTAGTTGCAGAATCTCTTAACACCGAACTACAAAGTTTATTGTTAGATATTCTGCTTATAAGAGTTGAGGTGGAGGCCATATTTTTCCAACTTAACTGCCTAAACCGGATACGCGCATTTTACTCGATATTTTCCTAACATAACATTTTCAAATCTTCAAAGAGGGCTTTTTCAATTTTATTCCTTTAGAGCATTGGGGATCACTTTTATCTTTGTAGGTAAGCAATTAGCTGGACTGGAATCATATTCCCTCATGGTTTTGTTAAACCATCTAGTCAAGACTTATCCCTTCTGTCACTTCACTCAACCATGAACAGGTAGCCCGTCTGGTCTCTTTGCCCTTCTTCATCAACTGGATTTAAGACTTAACATCATTGGTATTAAAGGTACTGACCATGTTGGTGAAAATTTGGATTAAAATTAAACGCTTATGCCATCTTCATCTTTAACTTTAATCATGATCCTATCCCCTACTCTTTACCAATTTTATACTTTATGCCACCCAACCCACTTTAACTCTAATTTCTTAGTGCAATATGCCCTGTTTTTTTGGGATGCACCACCGCATCCAGCTATTCTAGAGAAGCTTCCTTCTGCACTTGTGGATTACCAACCGAAGGAGCATAGGTCCTTCTACCCCCATTCCCCAGCATCTGCGAGTTTGATCCATATTAGACGATCCAAGCACCTCTTGACTTCGATCACCTTGTTCTTGAGCTATTCTCAAGATTTGCCGCTTTCCCACTGTAATATAATGTATAATTCTTAGTTTATATGGTCTCATAAAATTTAAAGTATGTGGATTCTCTCATTGGTTGTATCACAAATTAGCTAGTAAATAAAAAAAAAGTTGACATGATAAGCTTTAATATCTTTTTTACTTACATTAACTCTTTTATCAATTATTACGGTTTGATAGGTTATATTTTTTAAAAAAACGTTTAATTATTTAAACTAGCTAATATTTTTATATATTTTATTAATAGATTATTTTAGAATTAAAAAAAGTAGATTAATTCAAGCATTTATTAAAATAAAATTTATTATAAAATAATTTCAAAAATTGAAACAAATTTCTTATATATTGATTTTTTATTTATAAAATATAAATTATATATATATATATATATAAATATAAATATGTTTTAAATTAAGTTGCGGGTATGAAAATCTTAAGTAAATATATTTTATAATATATGAATAAATTTAGTTTCTAAATTAATATTTACAAATTGAACTCGTTAGTGAGATGTTTGCTAATTCTTAAAAAATGCAACCTTTTGAAGCCATTCTCTGTTTTTTTGATGAATAGGGGAAACTGGGGTTAGTCGAACCAATTTTTACAAAATTGGCTATAGCTCCTGTTTTTTTTTAGATAATATAAAAAATAATATAGATACCTACAACTATACTCTATAAAAGTGCCTATAATAGAATTATAAGAATATAATTAATTTTTTTTTAATTTTAATTTTAAAAATTAAAATAGCAGGGTGAGGACCACTTCAAGGGGCTTCCATAACCATTATTTTTAGGCCATAATAAATTGAAATGCATTTTTATAAAATACATATATATTGAACGTGACCACATTCATAATATTTTTACATCACCAATAAAATTTGGATTTATTTCCGATTCTTATATTAAATTTTTTTTTGTTTTAAAATCCAAAATCTTAATTAATTATTGCCTATTATTCATGTTTATCAAATCTAGATCAAATAAATGGAACCTTCATAGTACATATAGGTAATGGTGAACAAATCAATATAATAAACCTATATATAAGATCATATGGTAAGGGCGTCGCTAAACTTTACAATCTCAGGGGGCTCAAGCGACCTTTTTTTTGTTACAAAAAAATTTTTCAAAATTTTCAAGAGACTTGAGTCGCATATTTGAACATCAATCTTATTATTTACCTTATTTATTGGCACATATTTAATATTTCACATATTTTGAAAGTATACAAAACTATCTTTAATAACAAAATTTATTTTATTTATCGTTATTAAGAAAAATTAAAAGAAAAAAGTTTAATTTAAAATGAGAAGTTTAGACTTTATTGAAGTTGGAATATTAAAAAAAACTTAAAACATACTAATTTTACGAAAAGAGATATAAATAATTGGTTGATTATTAAAATAATATTAATAGAAAGATATTAAAGTCATTTGATAGGAGGTTTATAACCAATATTTTAATCAATTTTTTGTCGATTTCTACCCTTTCCCTATTTAGACTTTTGTCAATTATTTTTTTAAAATTAGTCAGGAACAAGTGCCGACTCAATATTAAGGAATCCAGCAAAAATTATTTGTTAATTCCATGTGATTATATCATAATACTATTATTTTGATAAGAATTATCAAAAATTTTAATAATATATGCTATCACATATGTCTACAGGAAAAATAGAAATGTATAGTGGACCAGGTATATAATTAAATTTATATAATAATATTCTTAATCAATTCAATAACATTATAGCAGTAGCCTCTTCTATTACAATTATATCTGGAAGTAAAAAAAATTTAAATAGCCAACCATTATGAGTTAAAAAAAATATAATATATTTTAGGAAAGGAACCATACATTATACAGCATAATGGTATTATATATAAATATATTATAGTTCATTATATATCTTCAATTAACAATGAACTTATGTTAGTTTGCTAAGAATAAGAGAAATTCATATTATCGCAGTTATTTTCTTATGGGGCATAGGGCGGTGGCTATTATGTAGGGTTTTGGCCATAAATTGTATTAAATCTTTAGGTCCGTTTATTGTAGACCTTGCCTATATTAGGTTTAAAAAATATATATGTTTTAGTTCTTCTTAAAATTTTATAAAAATTTTTAATTATAGTCGTTATAATTTTTACTTATATTTCTTTCAAATTATTGTTAATAGTGACATATCGTAGACTTAGGAGAGTGTAGGAGGAAGATTTTATTAGCCCAAAATGATATTATGAGAATAGGAAAATCTCATGGAGTGGGAAATCCCCACTTTCCCCCCCCCCTTTGTTTATGCCTATATATTACATTATAATATACCAGTTAATTTTACTCTTTGCTTAAATTTATATTTGGAATTTAATATTCGTTAATTTCGGAATTTTTTTTTAGTAGGAATTTCTGATTAAGTCATTATTATTTAGCGTAGGAAAGGAGCTATAAAATATTATGCATTAATTTCATATCATAAATAACATAATTTTGCACAATGTTTATAAAATTATCTTTTATTTTAATCATTTTATGTTCAATAATCTTAAAAAATTTTGAGTAATAATCTGCTATTTTTTTTTTATGCTTAAAGATATAAGAATGAGAATTTCCTTTAATTTACTTATATTTAAATTGATTAAAATAGTTTTATTGAATTATAGATTTTAAATTTTATTTAAAAAAAAATTATAATATTCCTAGGAATCCAATGGTTAAAAGGTAAATATGAGACATTTTTAAATTACACATGTTTTATTTTATTTTATTTTTAATCTTAAAAATAAGTTTAAATTTAGCTTTAAAAAATTATTTCTTACCCCTTACACAAAATAATATTATGTAAGTCTTAAGCTTTTGCTCATAGATTACTGAAAGGTTTAGAATTAGTCAAATCTCGTGGCTAAGATAATATTATTTTGGCTAAATTCTTAATCAGACTGTTTCTAAAAAGCAACCCTAATCGATATTAATTCCATAAATATTAAATAAAGAATAAACATAGAATATTCTTTGCTAACCAAATATAGTTAAATTACCAATTGTCATAGGCTCCTACTATAAAAATGAATAATATATACCTAGAAGCATATAGAATAATTCATCAATAATCATAATAAAATTTACCCGAAAATTGTCTTATCTTCTAAGTTATAAGAAAATCGATTTTTCCCAACTATATTTTTTGAATAAACAACAAATTTATTTATTTATTTAAAATAGTTAGTAATGTAGACGATATAGGTATATTAACAACTTATTATTATTATATATATACTTTTAATATCACCCAAGCCAACAAGACGTCGCTAGCCTTTTCCAAAAGGAGCTATTAAAAGATGCTAATTCATTTTTAATAATAAGTATCTATATTTTTTTTAAACTCTAATTTATATATAATTTTAAGAAACCTTGGACCTTTTGCTAGCCTTTGTTTGGGTTTATATGTATCTTCTCCTAGAATTAATTATAACATAAATTTATTCGCTTAATAAAAAATTATATCTAAACGCAAATGTGGAAATCTAACTAAAATGTTTTATCGTCATAATAATAACCAATAAAAAAATATATTAATTGTAAAAAGAATTATAAAGAATATTTTTTTATAATGTTCGTCGTTTGATTTTTGCATTTCCTTTTTTAAAATTAAAATAGGAATAATTTAAAATGAGAAAAAAAAATTAAATTATCTTAAAAATAAATCATATATACTTAAGAATAAATGAATGTATATTTATTTTAAACAATCTTGATGTATTTTATATTTTTTTTTTATTTTCATTTAGATGATCTAATAAAAAAATAAATAATTATAAAAGAATTATAACTCCTTTTTTCTATATAAAATTTTAATTTTTTACTGAAGTCACCAGGAATATACTATAATTTTTAAAATAAACTATAAAATTTCGTAAAAGTATTATTTTTAAATAAAAATTAATATATTTTGTTTAAATGATTGACTTTATTATTTAAATATTAGGCGGTAATTTAAAAAAATAAGTTATTAATTTATTCTTCGAAATTTAACTTATTAGCACCCAGAGCTCCTAGTTAGCGATGTCTTGGCAAGCCAAGTTTGTGGCTGAAGAAATTATATTTATTAAAACAAATTTTAATTTTCTTTGTTAAAATGTATTTAACACATATTATAATAAGTCTTGCAACCATTTTACTGTTATATTTCCTATTGATGGATTGATAAATAAAGATTTAAAAAATTTTAATATTATGAAAATATTAAATTTTAAATAAAGTTAAAATTCAATCGATTCGTTCGATTCTATAGAAAAATTTTCTATGACAAACAGATTAGGATTATTTTAAATCACTTATTATTCGATATTCCATCTAAAAGAAGCAATTTTTTTATTCAATTTCTCCCGTTATATTTTAATATAGGGAAGAGAACTAAATTAATTCATAATAAGATTATCAGTTTTTAAAAATTGTAATAAATATTTTTTTTTAAATTATCAATTATTCAGATCCAAATTTCATGATGTGTAAACAGAATGGTTAGTAACGCATATTACATGAAAATAAAAAAATAATATATAAATTGAATATTTCAGACAAATTCAATTTTACCTGTGAAACAGAAGGTATTTTGATTAAAAAAAATAACATATTACATTTTAATCGAAATGATTCATTTTTAGGTGGTGATATTATAAAATCTAATGCAGGTTTATCAAATAATAAAAATATAAAGTTCAGAATTGTATATATCGAATAAATTATTATATATATATTTTTTTTTAAATGAAGTAATTGTAAAATTATATATGTTACTTTTTATAATTAAAGACAATTTAACCAAGACTTTCCAAGGTAGCTATATTATATGCAAAAAATATCACATAAATTTTCGTTATTTCTTATAGATTACTTAAAGAATATAGACCATTTCATTAAAAGTATATTTTATACAATTTTCCCAATTTATAGAAATTTCACATATAAATATATTTTTTTCTAAAGCTAAAAATTTTATCGTCGGAATAAGTAAATTTATAAAATTTACTCTTTTGTTGAAAATTCATAATTTGTATACAATAGGAGTGGGTTCCGAAAATCTTATTCTAAACCTAGGTATAATTTTTTGATGAAATTATTAGTATAGAATAAATGTTAATATAGAACAAGCATATAGACCTAAAGGTAAAATGGACTGTAGTTCATATTTCATTAATTATAACGAAATTAATTTGGATACTAATAATTAACTATACTTCAGTCTTATTTAAAAAAGAAAAGATTATATTCTTACATGAGATTTCCTAACTAAAATTATATTATTACGTTATGTTTTATAAATAAACCAATTCAAAAATACCTAAATTTTAAAGAAAAATATAAAGAAATTAATAAACAATAAAATAAAAAAATCACATTAGACCAAATAATGGTGATAATTTTATATATTTTTAAAAACAATTATCAAAATCCGTTTTTCTCTATAATAATATTTGTTTTACTTTATTCAATCCACTATTCATTTTATAAATTATGAAGCATGTCATTATAATGTTGCTATATAAAAAAAATGGCTTAATTTTTATATATTATAGTAAAAAATACAACAGCACCCGTATTTAACTCAGGTATATATATAACTTTTAGTTGTATTAAAAAAAATGAAGAACAAAAAATTGCTTTAAATTGTATATACACTCTAAAATATTGTTTATATAAAGCTAACCGAAAAAATCTAATAGGTAATTACATTTCATAAAATACTTATTTTTATTCATATAATCGAATATCATATTATAGCTATTAGGGCAATAAAATGATTTTCTTGATAATAATTTTGCAAGTGAAATAGTTTAAAAAAATAATATTATAAAATATTATCTCAAAATTGATTAATAGAACAATAACAATGCTGTTATCCCTCCTCTATAAGAATAAAGTGTTAAAGTTACAACTACTTTTAAAAAAATGTGACTTCGTTATTAATTAGCTACTTTCTTAAAATATAGTACATATATCTATTATATTTTAATTGTAACGATGCATCAAAAACTATGTCTAAATTTTTTTTTCCACTTAAGTAATGGCCAATGAACAAAATATTGTCTCAAATATTTAATAAAATTTTTAATACAATAAAAAATAACATAATAATATATATTTATTATAAAATATAGTTACCTTAAATTTTAATTAATATATTTTGAATTTGCTTTTAAGAGAGAATATAGCTTTATCTAATAAAGAACACTTATTTTCACCAAAAACATCCTTATTCTAAATAATCTCTCAACAGGAGAACTAAATGGGATAGGGGTATTTTATTTTATGAAGGAAGATTTATTTGATTTTAGGAATTAATATAAATAAAACTAAATGATATTAGACCCCCTCCACCCCTTGAAACCTACCAATTTTGGAACACAGATATCATATTAAATAGCCTCGTTCAATCTACTATGCCTCCAAGAATCTATTTTCTCGTAATTGTCTAAATATCATTTCTAACAAATAGCCTTGGAACGTTAACTTAAATTTTTTTTGGATCTAATTATATTACATCACATTTCTCTACTAATTGTAAATTTTTTCAAAAAATAATTTCAAATCTCAATTTTCTTAAACTTGATTTATTTTGATTTATAGGATCAGTGAGTACTCCATACCTACTCAAATTAAATATAAAAAAAATTAACGATAATTATGAATAGCAGGCGAATAATTTAGGCTTCTCTAAGACGAGTGTTAAAAATAATTTAAAGCTTTTTTTCAAAAAAAATTAAACTGAATTGAGTTATGAAAATATTTTTATTTCACACAAGTTGTATGCAATATGTGATATAAATATAACTAAAAATATTTTTTCTAAACATGTTTTTAATTTTAAAAAAATTTATGACTTGCTAAATAATTTTTTATCATTTTTCTTTGAGAATAAAATAATTTTTATTAATTCATATATCTTATCTAGAAAATGTAAATGGTGTTTTAACAATATCTCTAGGTAAACACAATTATAAATAATTAAAAAAATTGATTAGCTATTATAATAACTTCCTCTATAGCCATATTGTTTAATATCATTCGATTAATTACACCTGTATTAAAAGAATCAAAATAACTTAATCATTACACTTAAATTACAATTTAATATGTTCTTCTTAGGACAAACCAAAAGATATCGAGAACCAGGTAAATATATTTTTATATTATACAATTTTTAATTTATTAATATTTTAGTCTCTGGATCTATAGAAATTTCTTATCTAGGTATAAAAATAATAGAAATATGCGATTCAAATAAAATTATTTTAGACGCCAAACCATATATTCTTGAACTTAATGGTAACTAAAAAAAATTTTTTTATTTGATTATCAATAATTAAAACCCAAATATCAGCTAAGAAGACAATAAAAAAATACACACGATTTTAGTTTTAATTTAATGTATCTGACTGATAATACAATATACGGGCTTATTAACACTTTTTATGATTGTTAGGATAATTATATTGAAAAATAATTTTTTTTTAACTTATTAATCAAAATTGTTATAAATCAAATATCATTTAAACTCGTTTTAGCAATATAAAAAGTTAAACATGCTAAGATCTACCTTAGAGTGGAGAGTAGATTATAAAATCAAAAATTTCAATTAGAGACCAAATACATTTTTAAAAAATTTCGGCTATGGCTATTAGTTGAAAAGGGAGTCGAGGCTGGACTTAATGTTTTTTATTCACTTATTTATACGTCAATGCCTATTATATTAAAATGTTTGCATAAAAATTTTGTTGGTTCACCATAATTTTGTGAGAAATTAGCTAATTAATCCACTCTGATTTATCAAATTTAAATACGTAATAAATAGTGATAATCTATATAAAACATTCAGGGCCCGTTAACCTATTTTTTGTTGAGTTTATATTTAAATTCATTGCCTATTATATTATTATATTTGTGACTTAGCCATTCCCCTATAAAATTACATGTTTTTCTATAAATTGATCGCAGAAATAGATATTTCTTTTTTAGTTTTATAATGATAAAAATTTTTATTATATAACTCCAAGATTGATTGTTTTTATATGGATGATTTTGCTATTTAAACTTTTGCACTTTTAATTTGTTAATACCAATAGGTGAAGATATAATGAAAGGTATATCTATCATAATTATTTTTTATCTATACTTGAATATTTTTTTATGAGTTACATTATATAAGATATAATTAATTTATAGGATGTTAAGTATAAATTATTTGATAATTTCAAAAAAGCAAGAGATATAAAGCGTAATTTTTTTTAATGGATTTTTTGTTAATTAAAGTATAATGAGCCTTTAAAGAAATATGAAGTTTTTATTTAAAAAAAATTTATGCAATATAGAATAAGCACTTTAAAACAATTTTTTTTAAAATTTGGTAAAAATATAAGAAATCTGCACCTCTTGATGGGAGATACTGGGGATATTATATATGAGATATGAAATAATATCTGATCTAAGCTCAATTTAAAGATTTTTCAACTGTATAATATTAAATCAATTATAATAATTATAATTTTAATCAGATATTACCAAGAGTTAAATAATCGATAAATAAATATGTACTTATATATAATATTTTTAAAAAATATTTTTAAAACATCTGTTTAGTTCCGAATGTGATAATTTGTAGGCTTGATCAAAGTAAGCCATTATTTTAAATTAATTGCGTCTCTTATAAGAAATATTAATTAAAAATAATTATTTTCAGAAAACTTCATTTGTGAAAGAGAAAGTATTTAAAATCAAAATTTCTTTAAAAATTTTGCATAATATTTAATTTTCATTTATAGAAGGATATACCACAAAAACCACGTCAGGTTTTTAAATGTACCTTATCACGAAAAGCGCTTATTTTTTTCGATGTTTATGATTATTACTAATTATTTAATAATATCATGTTGCCAATAAATCAATATATATTTACAATATATTTTTATGAAATCATTTAAAGAATTGGAAATGATTATAAAAGGTAAAATTATGAATATATATATAATATATATTATATTAAAAAAAAATATGTATATTTGAAATAGATTACCTAAACGATACAGTAGATCACTACCTAATAAGTATATTATTTATAATTTTTTACACTAAATTTAAAATATTTACAAATATCAAGCCCCAGATTTGGTGATTGGAATAAGTAAATTTACAAAAATAATATTTTATATGACGATTATAATTGAATACATTAGGATCGGGAAATGAAACCCTTACCATTAACATAGGTATAATAATTTTTAAAATTTAACTATAATAATATATATGCCAATATAATTTAGAACAAGGAGAAGAGCCTAGAGGTAGAATTTAATATTTTGATTTATATAAATACATTATATATATTAAATTAAATACGTTTAGCAGAATATATTTTCTACTGTTTGAATGAGATAAAAGTGTTAAAAGTTATTTTTAGTGATATAAATCTTTAAAGATAGATTTAATATTTCACAATAAGGGAGCATCGGACGATATTTTATGAACCTTTTACTGTTAAACAATGTTTAGATGCAATCAGAACATTTAAAATCTAAGAATCCAAACCAGAATCTAAAATCTATATTTCACAATTTTTGAAATTTCTGCAATTAAGTATCGCTAATGTATTAATTTCTGTGCAGATTTTGACATGCCCTTTTTCGTTATATTTTTTTTTGAAGAACACTGCGCCTTCGCCGATAATTTTTAAGAAATACACTTAATAATAATATTGTATTTTTTTCCCCATAAACTACGAAAATACTTGTTTACTCATTTCAAAATATATTTCTATTTTTATTTAAATAATTTTTCTTTTTTTTACAATCAGTTATATGTTTTATATTTTTTAGCCCCTAATAATTTTTTTTTTTGAATTTTTATTTATTAGTTAAAAATATAACAGGAATCATGTTTAATTCAAGTAAACATTTAATTTTATAAGAATATTTTTTAAAAATAATTCTCGCGAAGGAGAAAAGAAAGACCCTTTATAACTTAAATATTATATTTTTAAAATATTTTCTTTAGGGAAAGATGAGAAACAAATACTACTAGGTATATATTTTTTTTTTAGTAATGGGAAAAATAGCCTGTTAAAAAAAAACTCAACTAAAATAATTACTGAAAAAATACTCATTAAAAAGTAAATAGCTAAGAAAATAATTGTAAAAGATTTAAAGAATAAATACTGTGATAAAAAGATTTCAGGAATTAATTCGAGAAATATAGCTATAATTTTAATTGTGCAAGTATATCCAGTTCATTATTATAATTTAAGAAGGGAGGGTATTTTTCACCTAGGACATATTTATTAAGAATCTTGGAGTTTTTTTTATTGAAAATGAGCAACGAAGGGATTTATAACATGTTATAACATTAGCAAAACTATGATATAAGCAGCCTCTCATATTCATTAAAAAAATCTTTTAAATAAAATATTATTTAAATAATTTACATTACAAGTTGCTAAACTATGGAAAAAAACATTCAAGCTTAAATTTGAAGAATATATAAATCAATATGCCTATATCTTGTTCAATACACGAAGAGAGAGGGGAGGGGGTAACATGCAAAGAGGCATATTTATATGTTCCATTAACAGCTTTATTACATTTGTCTTAAGAATAACAATTAATTTATTATTTTTTGAAGAAAGATAAAAGAAAGAAGATTATCATAAGTATACCGTCTATATTAAAACGGAAAGATACCACTTATATTTGCATCCTAAACAAAATTTCTTAGCATATTAATGACTTGAAAATATGTTTCTGATCTTATTGGAAATATCAGATAAGCACATTAGAAAATCCAACAAGAATATACATTTATTTTAAAAAATAACCATCAATGTTGTCTAAATATTCTTGGTAACTGTATAGTTTACTTCAAGAATTAAAATATGGCAACCATTTACAATTTATTTTAATCTCTGTCAAAGATACATGGACTCTCTATTCTTCAAATAGAAGATATTCTATCTGAATTGAACTCTAATAGATATATTGCAGAAAGAAGAATTTTAACTAATTCCACAAGGTGTAAATAATCAATGCTCCTACTCAGAATGACATCGTATTCCAATTTTTGCCCATCTACATGAAAATTTTAGATAACATAAATAATTTATGTAAGCGTTGAAATAATAGATTTCAATTTATTATAGGTCACCATTATCCGCGCCGCATATATAATAGTTAACAATAGAAATCTGGCAATAACTTTCGGTAAGGATAATAATCAACAACGTCCACATGAGCGGGAGGTAGGCAGTAACAGTTTGCATCCAATTTATTTTGAGGGGCTAAAGGATAGGCATTGAAGGGGGCATCGTTTATTTCTATAATAGAAATAGTTGATCTTTTGTTAAATATATTAAAATAAAAATACAAGCATAATTAAAAATATGCATATATCATTGTAATTTTTTTTTTCAAGTTTTTTTTCCCCGCAAGATTATTTGGTTGAGTTATTTCAACAGGCTTTTTTTTTAGGATCCATTTATTTGATATAATATTTATTTATTTAAATTTCTTTTATAATAAATACTCATATTGAATTCTAATAAATATTTAGAAGTTGATTAAATGTGTTTATTAAATTTTAGATTATCTGGATGGTTTCGTTATAATAACCTTGGGTAATTCACATTTGATTATATTTTATGTTAAAAAGTTTATCTATATTTTAGTTTTCTAAGTAGTAGATCAATAGTTATGATAGCTCTGGTTTAGTTTTAAAAGAAATTGTACATGTTAAAAAATGGACAATAGCCTTATTTCTAATAATTTTTTTCCCATAAGAAAATATGATAATTTACAAATATGGTCGCCAGCAAGCAGAATATGTAGCCAAATACTTTTAAATGCACGATAAGATTACGCAATATATTATTTGCGATCGAAGTATTCGGATTTTAAAGAATTAACATCTTGGAACTTTATTCTTTATCTGACACTTTACTAAGGTTCCAGAGTGAAAGATGGTTGGTAGACATAGAAGATTTAATAAATGATAAAATAATTTGAAGATTTATATTCTGATGTTTAATGTGGAATTTATAAAGGAGGAACTGAGGCCACGATAAGAGTTAGTCAAAATAATTGTTATGAAAAGTATATAAAACAGCAAGTCTTTATTCTCTTTATGTCTCACTAATATGAATATCCAAAATATATTTCTTTTCTTCATCTTAGGAAAAACTGAAATATTCCGTGGTCCAGGTATATATATATATAATATAAAATTCTTAATAATTTTAATAATAGTATCGTGGTATATCGCAATGATATCTAGTAAAGGTAAATAATATATAAATCAAAAGCAGTTCATTATAATGATATAAAAAATATATTATATCTTAGATGCTCAACCGTGTCTCATACAGCATAATGGTATATATCAATAATATATTTTTTACATTTGGATATATTAAAATTTACAATAAAATGATATAAGAACATTTATAATATTGTTTCATATATTTATGACTTTACATATGTAGATAGATTCACTTTGAATAATAATAAAAAAAAATTCTGATTTGGTTAGTGTTTTAACATTTAGAATATGAAAAATTAATAATTATTTCTATTTGATATTTATCATTATATTATACATTACTTCTCTAGCCAAATTAATAAGTAATTAATATTTAGTTTTATACATATATATGAATAAGAACAAACAGTGTGATGGGAGGGGGTTGGAGTGTATTGAATCTCTATGAATTCATAAAAATATTATAGTAAATTCATAAAACTTCCTATATTCTCTTCTAATTTGAAATCTATTATCTTAAATAATCGTTCAGAAAAATATATTCTGTTTTATTTTACCACCTTCTGACCACAGGATCAGTCTAAAAAATGAATGGACTAGATATTTGGCAGGATTTAAAATTTTGCAATTTTTAAGAGGGCCAAAAAAATTTAAAGTATATTCAATATATTTTTTTTACATTAAAAAAAATTTTAAAATAAAGACGGTGAAGATTTAAAAAAATCAACCATTTTATTAATCCAAATTTATTAGATTTTAGTGAATAGAACAAATATTTAATTGAGGATATTACTCATATATTGGATTCTTAATTATAAATAATATTGAACTCTTTGTAGATTATACTTTGGCCCTATGTCATAAAAGGGCATACCATTACCAAATACTGATATTATCATATTTGGTAAATAAATGTAAGAAGATTTTTACGAAATTTGCTAAATATAGTATTTTTCCCCACTACTCTATTCCTGATTTAAAATCATAAAATAATCTGATATTTTAACATATATAGCTATGGAAACCAATAAGAGTAAATAGTCAAATAAAAAAATATATGTTTCAAAATTTTTAAATTTTCAGAGATTTTAATTGTTAATTAAGCAGTTTATTAATATAACTTATCATATAATCATACTAGAAATTTATAAAGATATTTATACTTTTTTCTTATTTAGCAGTAATAAATGAAGATTCTAACTATCAAAGTAAGATAAATAACTAATTAAATATTCTTTATTCTTTCCTTATTTTCTTTTGAATTTAATATTTAATTAATGATGGTTTTTATAAGGATTTATGTTTTACATTTTGATTTTATTCTTCCGTTCATTCCTATTTTGGTTCATTATGGCTAACAATGAGAGTGATTTATTTAATTAATTTGGTTATATAATTGAAACTTCAGAGTTTTCGACTCCCATTGTATCTGGGATTATTCTGCTAAATGTAAAGGATAGTAGCAATGAAAAGTAATAGCGCTAAAATCATTAAAGTTGTTTGCTTGATAAAACTTTCTTTTGATATTTTTCATAATAATACAGGTATATATGAGTAATTATAATTTAATGATTCAATATTTATAACCAGCATGGTTACAAAAATATGGATCTTATGTTTGATATATAATTTTTTATTTCTGATATCATTTCAAAGAATAAAATGAAATCCAAGTTATACTTATCCTAGTTTTATTATCATTACCTATTCAACTGATGGTGGCAAAATATTAATATGCTCTCGCATGTAATCTCGTAATAATACACAACTATATCCCTCCATAATTTTACAATGTATTACTCCTCCAATTCCAATTGTGCAAAGATTATTAACATTTCTACCCTTCGAGGATGGGATCTATATAGTTGGGTTAACATTATAAAATTGGCACCACATGCAAGTTGATTCTAGTTTCATACATGATAAATAATTTTTCTTTTGAGATATTTAAAACTTTAAAACATTAAATTTGACAAATATTTATAGCCCTAAGCGTATATCTTCCATCAGGCGTTTTACCAGCGTTTTTCTTTAATTTTCAATATAATTTCTTATAGTTGTCTTATTTTTGGGGCTATCACAGAATAATTAAAATAAAAGAATAAATAATAAAACCTTTTATTCATTTTTCTTTATGAATTCATCTTGGCATTATGTATGAAAAACTTTATCTTCCAATTCTTTAAATAATCGACTTTATGAACCCTTACTAATTCGGATGTAAACAATGTAAACCTTCACTATAACCAAAAAATTTTAATATGTAAATATTGTATATTCAAATAGATATCTTAAAATAAATGTTTGTTTGTAAAAATTGATATTAAAACATAATCAAATAATTTATTTTGAATTTGTTATGTCTAATATATTTCTTTTTTGATTTGATGAGAAAATGTTTAACCCATTAACCATTGAATATCATTACCATATAGAAATAAAATATTAAATTAATAATAGTTTTTATAATATAATTTTTCTCTTTTTATACTAAATGAATGTATATATTATAAAGATTACTCATGAATAAAAATTATGTTACTCATTGTATACTAATTTTATAATCAATTTCATTTGTTTCATTGATTCGGCAAAATTTCTTTCAAAAAATATCAAATATACAATCCTAAATAGGAATAAGTAATCTAAAAATATTTATTAATTACTTTAATTTATAAAAATATTAAATTTGTTTAGATGAAAGTATCATAATTTGCAAAAGATCTAAACCTTATAATTCAAGTAAACCAACTTTAATTTATGTTGTTTCCAATAAAACATTCAAATTACAAATAAATATTTCAGACAATAATACTTGTAAAACGGAAAGTATGTACTTTAAAATAAAACCCACAAAACGTAACTTTCTAAATATATTTTTTAATTATAGATGGAGCTATTATAATTACATCAGGTTTAAATATATTGATATTTAGAATCTATTGCATAGTACTGAACATTTTTCTCCACATTATAAAGATATAATAATGTTACCAATTAATATTTACATATTATAAAATGATATATAGGAAATATTGCAACGGTTAAAGGTATGTAATTCACTTTAATTTTTTTAAAATACTATATTTGTATTTCTTATAGAGCACTTCAAAAATACTAATATATTAATCCAAGGTATATTATTATTATCATCCAGCTATATTTCTAAATAATTACTCATTTTCAAAATATCTTAAGATCAAAATTTATTGATTGGAATAAGTAAATTTAGAAAATGATCTCTATTTCTATAAAATTTACAATTAAATACATTAGAATCGCGAAATCCTAGCGTCTTTAACATTGGTATATAAAAATTATTGGAAATTAATTATTTAGCAAAATTAATATAGAACAAAAATATAGATTAACGGGTAAAATAATATTTTGAATATCGAAATTTTTATATCTACACATAAATTATGAACCTTCCTCCAAAAGTTATGTGAAAAATAAAACTGCTATTAAATATTATGCTGGTAAATTTTAATTAGGCATCTGAGTAAGACATAAAGTTTAAATAATAAGTGAACAATATTAAATAAATTGAAACTAATTTGACCTTTTACAGCTCTTTAAAAAAAATTTATAAAATTAAGTTTAAAATTCACACAATAATAAAATTTACTCTATCAGAAATTGGACCAAAGACTTAAGAAAGGTATTTTAATTTGGAGAACCAGAGTTATAAAATTTTTACCTATTTTATTCAAAGTATTTTTTTTATATTAAAAAAGATCAAAATATGGTCTATTCCAGATGTCTGTTTATGTGGGCTATATTTAATTTTATGCTTCTATCTAAATCCATTAATAGTATTGTGGAACATTAAAAAAATTTCTCCGCTTTATTTAAAAGATAGTAATATTTTTTTACTTAATTTTTTTTTTAAAGTTTATATTTATTTTTAATCTTAATTTTTATTATTTATTTTATTTTGTTCTTTATTTTCCAATGTCGCCTATAAAAGAATAATATAATTTAAAGATGGTTTAAATATTAACATTGATAAATCTAAAAATCTATTAGCCAATGAATAGTAAATATCGATAATTAAAGATGACGATGTGAAGTACAATATCTATTTATTTGTTCATCAGCTTCCAAATCAATAATCTAAAATAATTTATTTAAAAAAAAAGAAAGATTTTCACTAATTTTTATAATCATTTTATATTATATAATAAGCTCTACTTAATATATGTATATATATATTTATATATATAGTAAAGGAGTCTACTAAACCTGGCAGATCTAATGGAAGTAAATTAATTTTAACTTGTGCTATAAACGTTACTTCAAAAATGAAATGCGTTATCGTTGCGTTTGAAATAAGATACTCGTTATCGTTATTTGTTACCTTGTGAATAAAGGAACAAACCTCGCTATTCTTAAAAGTAACGACTTACTCATTACTTTAAAAATGGAAAACATTATATATTTTTTAAATCTTTTTTTGTCTCCATAGATAGTAAAAATTGTGTAAAAAATAATATATTATTAGACTTTTTTAAATAATTCTGTATTTTATTTTTAACAATTCATTTTCAAAATTTTGAGCAGATAAACAAGAGCTTTGTGCTCTACATAGCTTTTTCTGTGGTAAACAGATGTTCAACTGGAGTAGAGAATAGAACGGTTGCGTTATATTTAATAAAAATTTTAATTGAGGAAATTTATTGAAAAAAATTAATGAATAATCTTAATTTTTCTTCATTCAGATCATCATTAATTTTTTATTTAACTTTATTAAAATTTGATCAGAATTCATATTTTACTATTATTTTCTTTTAGATTTGAGTTGCTTGATAACGAGGCTGAAATATTTGAATTAGAGCACATCACTTACAAAATATGAACTAAATGCCATTAATTTTCTTTATTTGTGTATAAAAAATGTTTAATTATTGAGGACAGGGAGGAGTTAAATCATCTTCATCTGAAGAAATAAATAATTGCCATATATAATATGAAATAAATTAAAATATTTTAGAATATATATTAATATAACTTGATTGATTCAATATTTATTGGATTACCAATCTAAAATTGTATTAAATTCAACAACAAAAATTTAATTAATAAATAAAATGAAAAACTTTGATTGTTGTGAAATAAAAACTCGGCTAAAATTATTTATAAATTTTAAAGTATGATATATAATATAATCCAGTTTCAATCTTGGCTTCATCAAACAACTGTTCATATCCATAGCTCTTCGTCTGGACTATAATGCAGTTGTACCCTCCACTTGCATCGATTGTTACCAATCGAATTACTCCTATTTCACTGCAAGTTCTCCAGTAGACCTGCCATTTAATAAAATTCTTGTAGCTGCCCTCAAAAAAGTTAATATCCTACCCCCCTTCGAACCAGTGGGCCTTATAAAAACGCCCTAAACCCGGGTGGTATATCCCTTATCTCCTGGACGAACAATCTCCCATTGACCTAGGATAACACTGAAATTGTTATTATAGCAAAGACTAAGCTCTCGTTTCTTGCCATAGAAATGACAGACCTTAAAAAATAAATACGCTGGTCCTCATTAACACAGATTTTATACCAAATCTCACTAATACGTTAAGGCTTTTAAAAAATGAAGCTCTCAATTTTATCAAAGCCAAAGACATAAGAATAACGAATCAGATTACAGGTGACCCATACGAGGGATTCTATTTTCGTTAGCAGATTTCTCTCAAAATCATTCATCTCTTCCCTGTTTTTAAAGAGCTTTTATAATGTTTTTTTTATATAAAATCTATATATATTAATTTTAATTTGTTTATTTTTTTAAATATATTATATTTGATATAATTTATTATGCGTTTCATTTTTTATAAAAAAATCTTTAAAATAACAACGTTTTGCGTTAACTTTACCCTAAAAAAAAGTGCGAACTTTTGAAACAAGTAACAAATGGCGTTCCTTTCCTCAAAAAAGTTAACGACGTTACTTTTACAGCATTAATTTTAGTTTCTTTTAATAAATATATTATTCATTCTTTAAATAAAAATATTTTTTGAATATATTTTATTATGATCAAGCAATTTATACCAAGGAATTAAGTAAAATATTTATTATATTTTTAGGCGATAAATAAATAAATATGCCAATGTATTTATTACATCTAGGAAATGTAAATGGTTCTCTAACAATATCTATAGGTAATGATGTTTTATACAATAATAAAAATATATTTTAAACATATTTAAGATTTTTTTTATTTATTTGCTAATTAAGATTAATAAATATACAACCAAATTAAGATTTTTATATGTCATTGGGATTAGAATTAATATAGTAAATATTTATTTCACTTTAGGGAACAAAACGTTTCGCGAGCAAAGTATATAATATATACATAATGGGATTTTTAAATAATAATATTTTAGTCTTGGAATTTCTCCATATAAGCAGCAATGATAAAGGTGAATAAAAATAAATAACTGCCTCTTAGAATAATTTATTAAATTATTTTAGAAGCGAAATATCTTGTACAGCAGAATGGTATATCCTTGATACATTTTATATATATTTTTTTAATAATTATATTTTATAATGACTAATATTAGTTTGCCAATAGCTGTCTTGGCCTATATTTTTCACTTATGTTTATAAAAATTAAAAAATAATAATAATAATGAAGAAAAGGCAATTATTAAATTTTTTAATAAAAGTTATAGTTCCTTGCCATATTTTTGTTATCCTACATAGATAGCTAAAATCAATAAGCTTATAATTTATACCAATTAATAAAAACGATATTTAAAAAAATATATATTATCGATTTAAAATAAACTATTAGGATGTGTCCTGGTTTGTCATATTTTCAGCTTTTTGAACCAGAACATCCTTTGCATTGTTATATTTATTTTTTATTCTTGTTTTGTTATCTTTCATTTTTTCCATATATTTTTTTTTCTTACTTTATAACCAGTGACAGATAATTTCAACTCATAATTTGCATTTTTCTCTAGGAGAAAAGGTCCAAACAACCTCCTTTCCCCTACTCATAGCTACGCCACTATTGATAACCAATCTACATGTTCAACAATATTAGAAACTTAGAGTTGAACCCTTTGATATAAATTTTAGTTCCACGAATTTCAATTTATAAAGGTTTTGATTAGGATCATAAGAAATTAAATTCTTTAAAGATTCAGGTTAAAGTTTAGGCATAAAGGTTTAATAATTATCATTTTTTTAAATATTATATTCATATATAGTTTCATAAATAATTTGTCATATTTTATGATAGATATAAAGGAACAATAAGAATAAAACAGAATTTAAAATTAACCCAATATTTTACAGTTAATTTTTTTTTTTCATTTGTATAATAAATAAGATTACGATACTTAATAAAAAATATTTTCTAATATATCATTTTCCAAGATTCTTCTCTGCGATGTTAGAATATATTTAAATACTGAAATTATTCTCACAGTTGAAACTCTGGTAGGGGGCATGGCGAATATTGTTAAGAATTCATGTTCGAGTTCCTCTATTTTTATTACTTCCCAAAATCTAATAGTATTATATTAATTCGTTATCGTTAAAAGAGAAAATAGTACCTATTAATTACGTTTGTATTGTATCTTTGGAAATATTTTAACATTTGTTATTTTCTTTCATTTTACAATATACATATATTCAAAATCGTTGTTTCGGAGTAGGGTTAATTATTTTACTTTAAACTAATGGAAGAAAGTTAATTTCCTTCATTATAAGAGCATGTTTCAATTATATGCCAAGTCTATATAAAAAATTTTATATCCATATAAGATTCTTCATCAAACAATATTTGATATATGGCATCAATATATAGACAGTTATACAATGTGCCATTTATAGGCTCTATTTCTCTTGATTTGAAGGAAAATTTATTATTATTTTAATTAAGATGTATAGAAATCACCTAATTTACTAAATTTTTTAAAAAAATGCTTTGGTTATATTCTTTAATTTTTATAATTATTATAAAATATGTAATGTAACCTATATATTAAATATATACTACATAATTATATTTCTTAATATATACTATGGAGTATATTGTGTTATATATTAAATCTAGTACAAATTACATGATATATAATAATTTTAAAAAAAATAAAACATTAACAAAATAGCTCTTAACGATAAATGTTCTAAAGAAGCGAATTAAAATAATGTTATGTAATTTTTTAAATTACATTATTTGATATTTATTTAAATATATTAATTATGCTTAAACCGGTTATTAGAGGGGTTCGGTTAGCATCTATAATTTTTTTTATAAAGTTCGTTTCATTCATTAAAAAATATTTTTCTATATAAGTTCGGATTTTGGGATTCAGTTTTTGAGGTTAGGTTTTCTAGATTCGGCTTTCAAAGTTAGGGTTCGAGGTTCGGTTTTCTAAGTTTAAGTAGATACTAGGATTAGGGAATAAATAATAGCAAAAATATTTTTGGAAAACCAAAAAGTTTAAGAATGGAGCATTTTCAAAAAATGGTTTATCTCACACAATAATAATTATTAAACTTTGTTAATTTCTAGGAAGGCAGGTGGATTATAAGGGAAATATTTATTTTAATTAATTTAACATTTCAAATTTATATATCTATCTATATACAAAATTCTTGTCATTATATACATTTTTTATAATATCGTATTTACATATAAACATAATACATATGTCCTTTACAATTTCATTTTACTTTTTCTTATCACTGACTTTAATATTTAACATTTCCTCTTCTTTTTAAATTTCTTCCTTCGAAAGCTAGAGTGTTCTTTCCTATAATCAAGAGTATATAGTTTAGATCGTTTGTTAAACCATCTGATTATCGTTAGTTGAATTGATTATCGAACATTATGAAACATCGTTGGTTGAACATCATTGTTGAAACGTCGTTAGTTGAACATTGCTTGTTGATTTGCTGTTTGTATTGATCATCCCATTTCTTTGACTTTGAATTCTCGAACTTGAACTTGACTTTGAATTTTTTCGATTTTGAACTTGAACTTGTTCACTTCTTCCTCCTCTAAAATTTTTTTCATTTGTTTGTAGTAAAATTTTATCGTCTAATCATTTTCTTGAATATCATCCTCCCATTAGCTTGTTCATCTCGTTATTTATTATCATTTTTATCAATGTTTGTAAATATATATTATGATCTCAAATAAAATAATTTTGGATTAATTGAAATGGAATAAATAATTTATCAGAATTATTCATAAGAATAAGAATCATGGAATAATAGAATATTTGGAATTTATTATACTTTTTTATTTATTATTAAATTATTTTTATTTTTAAATTTTACTCCTTTATTTTTCAATTTATACACTTTTTTTATATCATAATTTCTCTTCAACTTGTTCTTTATAAAAAAATTTCTCCTTCTCCTTCCATCTACAACATACGATCTCCATTTCGTACTCCTAATCTCTCTTTCAATATTATGATATTTAATCATCTTTGTTTTAATTTTCATTTTCAAAGTTTTTTTAAATTTTTTATTAATTCTAAATTTTTTTATTTTATTATTTTCTTCAATTTTTATTTCATTATTGTTTTTAGTAACTATTATTTCTTCAATTGTTATCAAATGATTTATTTCTTCTAATTTATAAGAATTTATTTCTTTTTTAATATTTGGTATTAATTTATATAATTCAATTTTATTTAAGTTTTTATTATTATGATATTTATAATTATAATTTTCATGCTTTTTATTGTAATATGTACCTTCATAATTTTTACTATCTACTTTTCCATTATCCTCGATTACATTTTGTTGATTGATTATATATTTAAATAAATTTAAATTTGAATAGTTAATTTTAGTTTTATTTGAATATTGTTTATTTTTAAAATATATTAACGTTGATTGTTTAATATGTTAAAAACTTTATATATATAGATACTAAAAAGAGATAAGAAATAATAAATAATTTTGATTTTAAAAAGAATTAATTTAAATAGTTTCTCAAAGTTAAACACTTTCTTTTACATTTACAATTTTATTAAAAATGTTCCCAAAAACTTTTATCCACGTCCTTCCCAGAATTGCAATTTTGTCATTTTGGATTATAAAAGCATCTAAGTTTTGAGTTTTGTCTTCATATCTCACTTTTATTTTAACGATTCCTAGCACCTCTATTCTTCCCCCATCATAGCCAGTCACTTTCGTATCCGATTTATTTAAGACTTTGATTCCTATCTTTCTAGCAATATTAATCGGCAATATCGAAAATTGTGACCCGGTGTTGATCTGCATGTCTACCGGTATATCGTTAAGGTATATTGTAACTTTGTAATCATCATTTTCCTTGTCATCATCATCCATTCTATTTACGTCAAATCTGTTCTTGTATGACTGATTATTGTTCTGATTATCATTGTATCTAGGTATGTATCTCGATTCGTTCTGATGTCTATAATATCTATAATTATTTTCATTATATTTGTAATTATCATTATATTTGTAATTTTCATTATTATTATATCTATAGTTATCGTAGTTATAATTATTTTTATTGTTAAATCTTGTAAAATTATTATAAGGTCTCGGTCCATTATACCCACTATTAACTCTAGGATTATAATTATTCCGATATCTTGGTTCATAATTATTTGTATATCTCGAATCTTCATAATTATCGTATCTCGGTTTCCACTGATATCTGTGTACGTGCGACTTCATCCCTTTATCGTGCTCATCATATTTCATCATCCTTAAATTTTTATACTAAATAATCTTCTAATTAATCTATGAATTTTATTTTATCATTATTGTCTTGTTTTAAATATTTCATCATTAAAATTTTATTATATTTTTATTCAATTTTATATTTTAATCATCTCTTACGTGTTTTTAGAATAATATTAAAATCATTTTCCATAATACTCTTTCGTCTAGCTTCACCATGTTTCAGTATAATTTGTAGCGTTTTACTTCTCTGCCACCATGATAATTTCTAGGAAGGCAGGTGGATTATAAGGGAAATATTTATTTTAATTAATTTAACATTTCAAATTTATATATCTATCTATATACAAAATTCTTGTCATTATATACATTTTTTATAATATCGTATTTACATATAAACATAATACATATGTCCTTTACAATTTCATTTTACTTTTTCTTATCACTGACCTTTTAAACTAAAAAATACAATATTCAATTTTAGATCTTTTAAACAAAAATTATAATATTCAATTTTAATATTTAACAAACTTGTAATTTTTTTGAGTGATATTTATATATAATTTAGACACAATAAGATTTAGATTACCATTATTTTAGGACATATAATTAATAGCTCGCATTTATTACAAAATGCAAGAAAACAAAATAACGCGTTTTTAATTCCTTGAAAGAAGTATCCACTAAGGAGTTCAAAAGAATAGTATATATATATATATATATATTATTATATACACCTATCATGGTGAGGATGAGTAATATGGGGTTTATGTCTACTTTTAGTAATTGAGTTAGGGCCGATATATTAGTCTTAAGTCCTCCACCCAGCGTCTACATAAGCGAGAGGGGAGGTAGAAACAGTTTACATTCAGTTTTTTGAGGGGGTTAGACTAGGGGTAGTATAAATTTATTGAAGTGTGGATTGTTCACAAAAAAAATTATTTTGAAAGTTGTGTATATCAGAGTAGAATAATTTAAAGAATTGATGGATTATTAAGATATAATAACTTGATTTAATAGACAAATTAAAAAATAAAATACAGATATTATAAAAATTACAATTAGGATATAAAATTTAACAAAATTAAAAAGTGTGATTTCTTTAAATTTTCGTTTCTTTTATAGAGCTATTTTCATATTAACCAATCGTCTGATTAAAACAATTATGAATATTCAAATAAACAAAAATTAATTTCTTATTTAAATCGTCTGTTTAAAAATATAATATGAATATTGAAAAAAAAAATAAATAACTTTACATTTATTTCGTCTGAAATATAATGAATATACAAAAATTAAATCGACTGTACATTTAAAAAAAAAACAATACATTTATTATTTTATTAGGTGTGGATATGAATGATCTAAGTAAGTAGATTATTATAATTTTAAAAATTATATTTCTAAGCAATAAACAAAATATTCTAACGGATAAATAAAATGATTTTTTTTTAAATTATACTAGTCAAACATAAATAATTTTATTAACAGTTTCATAAATATATTAAAATATATCATTCTCTTCTATTTTCTATCATTAACACTTATTTAGTTAGAGATATAATAATTTGTAAAAGGGATTCAGGTAATACTTTTTAATTTAATATTGCTCATTGGATATATATAAAAATATTTACTTCAGTCAATATCACTTGCAAAACAGAAAGTACATTTTAATTTAAAATTTACCATTACTAATCAACTACAAATTTATTTTTAGACGATACTATAACTGTCATCGAAGGTTTTCCTAAATTAATTATCAATCAAAAATTTATATGTTAAAGATATAATTATTACACATTTTATTTATTTGTAAAGTTTTTTAATACAATATATAAATTGATGCCTTATTTTAAAACGCAGAAAATATTTGGAATACTTTTAATGGTAGGTGTTTTTCACATAAAAAAATCTAAAGAAATTTTTTATATTTCACATAGAATACTTAAATTACCTGGAGTATTACATCAAAAGTATATTACCCCTTAAAATTAAATTCATTTAATATTACTTTTAAAAATTATATTTAGGTTCAAATTTGTGGATAGGAATAAGTAAATTAATGAAAGATATAACTTATTACGTAATCATTAATGTAATTTTATCAAGGATTGGTAAAGGGAAATCTCACTCTTAATTTAGGTAATATTATGATCTTAAAAACTATTATTATAAAGTGTAATTTTATTTTAGTACAAGATTTGAAACTCAATGGTAAGAAATCAATGTTTATATATAGAAAACTTTATATATACTATCAATCAAATACATTTTAGGGGTCAAAATATTAATCAGGGCGGGATTTTAATCTGAGCAAGTTATGTGGAGGTTTACAACAGGTGGTGTTAAGATAAATCATAATGGTTAGTAAGACATACGTTCATTTGGAATTTAATAATAATAATCTGAAAATAATAAAAATTTGTTTTGCACGTTATTTGTGGTTAAACAGACAATAATTTTATGAAATTTGTTAATTTAAATTCCACTTTACTCTTAAAGTTTATTTTATTCTTTTGAAGAGTCAACTTTTTTACTTTAAAATTACTATCAAATTTTTCAGTATCTTAATCATGCATTTTAAAATTGGTCTTAATCATAGCCATTTGATAGAATGTATTATACAGTTGGTTCAATTAGATATCTAGGCTTCTATTTTATTTAAGATGTTTTATATCATTTTTATATCTGAAATATAATAGCGGGGGTTAAAATATTAAGGTATCAATTATTTTGAACAAAAAAGTTATAAAGATTAAATGGATCTTTGATGAATAAATTTTGCATTCATCTTGATTACGTGTTAAACATGATCTATAGCAATAGATGTAAACTTAAATATCTCTCTCTAAGATGACTTGATTAGATTGCTGTATTTTGATTAAAAATTACCTTTATAATGAAAATGTTTATTTTAATTCAATGTGAAATTTTATTATTTTGAAGCAAAATTTGGTACTTTTTAAATCTCGCATTATAGCCAGGATTGCACACAATTTCTAATCTTCAGTTATAGACTATCGCTTGAAAGAAAAATAATAGAACTAACAAAATCAACAAAACTCCCAAAATATTTAAATTTCCCCTAAATAAATCTACCAAAAAATCTCCCAAAAATATTTAAAAATTCAATTTAAATTAGTATAATAATAAAGATCCCAAGAAAGAGAAGTGGCTAATTTTTGTAGTTCGTAATTTTTTTTAAATATATAAGCAATCAGAAAAAGTTTCCAATTTGTTTTTCTCACTTTTTCTAAAAATTAAGTCAAGAATATTTCTTATATTCTGTGTACTAATTAAAACATTTTTTTGATAATAATTTCACTGAAGAAGAATCATAATTATGGAATGGCGGCTGAAGCTACCGATTTAGAATTTAAAAGGCCAAATTTTTATAAAAATTGATAATATAATTTTTCATTCAGATATATTAAATAACTCTACTGATTAGTAATTAATATTTAAAATGATTAATATCGATATTTTAATTTTATTGTTTTTTTTTACCTTGAAACTATTAACGGAAATCTGTTGGAAAATGAAGGTTTAATAATGTTCTATTTGGTATTTCAGAAATAATAATAGACTCAAGGTGTAGCACAGAGGAGGTCAAAAGGGTCTCCTCTTTTTAGTTATTATGATTTGAAATTATGTTCTGTCATGGGTAAATTTTTAAGCAGGATTATGCACAGCGACAATATCGACTTTAACGTTGCGACGCTTATTGAAAGACATGTTTTTAAATCTATTTTAGAATATTTTTTTTTTTTAGGATTTTTTATTCACTGCAAAAGAGCTTGCTGATTTAGATTGAGGAAATAACGATGTATTTGATGTTTAAAATATAAAACCTAATGAATTATATAAAAATTTCAAAATTATTGTTTTTCATTTAATTTTAGGTGACTATAAACAACTTCTTTATAAAATATATACTTATTAGAAATATATTGCATATTTTTGAGTATTTTATATTACGTAAAAATGTCAAAAAATATATTTTACCCTTACCACTTTTGGAAACATTTAATTCTAAAAATGGTAAATTATATCAATGCGATTTTCAGGTACAGACCCTTTACCTTGTAATACAAAGAATTTATTAAATATAGAAATCGGTCTTTTTAACAAGACTACCTTTAGCAAATGCTGTATACGATATATTTTTTATTCTTTAATTTTTTACCATATAGTATCTGAAAGAATTTTTGATTATACTGAAGGTATGTTTACTATAACAATGTAATATAAATTCATTTGAAAATATTAAATATTATTCTTTGATAGAGGGAGGCTCAATTGGTAAAATATTTTATATATCGTAAATATAAAGTGTAAAATATTAATTTTTTTTAAAAAATGTTCATAAATAAAATAAAATAGAGATAGACAAAGGATGGAGTACGAATTTTTGAAAAATTTTGTTAATCGAAAAATCTTAACTTACAATTCAAATAAAATATTTGATTATCATTGAGGAATAATACATTTGTTATAATTTTTGAAATATATTAATGAAATCTAGTATCGGTAAATGGAACCTTAATATTAACTTTCGGTAAATGATTTTATTTAATTGATTACTTACTTTAATTGATTTAATAAGTCTCAATATGACCATAATCTTTTAACAAATATTTAATATTTATATACTATTTTTCCATGTTTTGAATCATCGTAAATCTAAATCAAAATAATTTTAGACAACAAAACGATCAGTGAACATGGTATAATATAATATAGTTTAAAATCCCTAAAAAAAAATTTTTTATATTATTTTAGTCACTGGAAATCTTACAATTAAATCACTTAAAGGTAGAAAAAATATATTTATAAATTATCATTTATTTTTAATTTTTTTTTAAAAAAAATAATTTTAGAGACTCAAAAAAATTATGTTCTACAACATAACGGTATGAATATATAGAAATTTAACAAAAAAAAAATTTTACATGTCGAATTTAAAATTTTATCGATATATAATAATTATTTTAAATTTTTAATTAATTTTTTTTTAAAACCTCTGCCATGAAATTGTTAGAATTAAACTTTGTATTATTAAAAATGATTAATATACTCTAAATACTTCTCATCAATGGAATATTTTGAGGAAAAAAAAGCATTATGTAACTAAATTAGCTTATATGATGTAAAGAATTTATAATCAGTAAATGTGTTATGCCTGATTAATATATTATTCATCTAGGTATTATTAGGTATATAAAACGACTCATTAATATAGCTAAATTTTCTTAGAAATTTTAAAAAAATTTAAAATACTTACCCTAATTCTTTTTATTATGAGAATATTTTGACCTTATTTGTTTGTTTATTGACATATTCAAAATGTTATATAGAAGCAAAAATAATTAATTGATAAATCAAATATATTATAATTGTTTCACATGATATCTTTTTTCATCTTGCTTTTTTGCCCTTAATTTAATTTATCAAAGATTAACAGTAAATTTTTAAAGGAAACATTTTGTTATTTGATTATAACAAATTTATAATTTTTATTTAAAAAAATAAGTAATATTTTATACCCAAATTAAATTATTTTCATTAGTTTTATGTAAACTAGTAAAAAAAAAATTTGACATTTAAAACAAGCAAGTATATCGATATAATTTTGTCAAATCATAGCTAAATTTAGGTTTTAACCTAATAAATAATATCTATCAATTTGTAAGGTTGCTAATATCTAGCGACAATGTGTTAAATAATAACCTAATAAATATATGAATAAGATTAGACTTATTAAAATGTAATCCACGTATTACTTGATAACGATATTTACGCTAATATATCATAATTGATTTTATTCTATTTAGGAGTCGATGTTAATAAACTCCAAGAAGAATAACCTTTATTGAAAACAAATTTACTTATTATGATTATAATTAGGAAAAGATTTGATTTATATTCATTTATTTTGTGGTGTGTTTATAACTTTATTTTGTTTGGTAGTAAACTTTATTTTGTTTGGGGAGTTAACTTAAAATTGTTTTGGGGTTTAAATATATTAATTTGATTATTATATCCAATAGACGCCTAAATTGTAATTAATTATGTTATCAATAAAAATATTATATCAACAAAGTTCTCATTTAGATTTAAAAAAATTAAATTTTTGAATTCATCTTACTGTTTATTGAAAATAAAAAATATTAAACATATATTTTGACAGTCATAATTGTATATTATAGAGATCTGCTCGGGTTGTCCATAGCCCGGCCCGACCTCGGGTTGAGGTCGGATTCGGACATAAAAACCATTTATTTTTGGGCTCGAATTGTAAGAGGTGTTGGACTTCAAGTCCTCATAGAGTGATATGATAAGTTACTTTTAGGTATCAAAAATTTGGATTTAATCGGCTAAGATTAATTTGTCAGATCTTTTGTAGAAACAGACACAAAAATTAATGTTCTGGGAACCCAAACTTCGAAAGAAAATTATGCGCGCAAAAAGTTAATTCTTAACAATTTCGAGAATAGTTTCGAAAAATCGTTGAAGAATTTAATATAAATTTAAGTTTAAATAATGTAATGCATAAACTTAAGATGACTAATAATATTATAAATATTTATAAAAGAAGAGAAACTTATTTAATTACCTTCTCTTTTCATTCTTTTATTGACTTTATCTTTTTAAGCTATTATCGGTGTTGTATTGAAGCAGAAGAAAGCTATAAACATTTTTGAATAGAAGCTCTTTAAAATATCCCTCTTAAATATTTACACTGATCCAAAAAGTTATTAAAGAGGCATTTATAAAAAATAAATCACAATTATTCTTCATAGCATTGGTATACATTCTCATAATTAGTGCTAAGTTACAAATAATGACACTTTATAAGAATTAAATGAAACTCCCATTTATTTAGGATAATTTAAAGGAATAACATATATCGCAGTGTCAATTAGTATTCATTCTATTTCAAAGAGAAAAAATTATATAATTCGGATTAATATAAGAACAATTTCTTCTTTTTTTCAGGTTAAAATCCCTTTTAATTTAATTTATCTTTAATTAACATTAATTAAACTTTTTGTATTAAAAATGAGAAGAAATTTCTTGTGTTTCCTGATATAAAAATTCACTAAATTATAATATACAATAAATGATTGAATTTTTTTTTTAATATAAACATTTTTTTTAAATTTATTTATTTAAATTGATTTTCTCCAATTCCTTCGACAAACCTGCCATTCTTAAGCCTATCGTCCATTTTTCATAGTTCCCCCCCCCCCAAAGTTATGATTTATCAATTATCGTACTTGTCAATTGATTTGGAGGTTGACATATTCATATTACATAGAGATATCTCAGAAGGGAAGAAAAATCTATTCAAAATTCAATGGCGTCCTTGTGATAATTCAGCAATGGACAAAATTGCAATTAAATAAGCATTAAATATTTTGAGGAAGTAGCAAATATAATGTTAATATTAAGAAAAATTTAAAGCATCATTGATTAAATTATTGGACAAATACATTGCTTATCATATATTTTATATCATTGTCAAATGTATCTTTAAACCATTTTATAAAGTATCAGTGACCTACAAGCGGACCCTAAGGCAGGGTACATGTGCTGGCCCTATATCCGTGCCGGACCTAAAAATTTTAAACCAATAACCTAAACTCATTTAGGCATATCTTTCCAATGAGTTAATAAAGGAATGTATACATTTTGTTTCATGATGGCTGAATAAATTTTATTTCGTTAACCATTAACATTATAAATAAACTGAGTATAAAAATTCGTAAAAATTTATTTTATAAAACATTACCATGTTTATGTCTATTAAAGTATAAAAAATATTTTATAATACAATAAAATTTTAATTAATACATTTAAAAAATAATAAGCTTCAATATTTTTTATTTTTCATTTTTCATTGGGAAATATATTGATTAATCCAATCCACAAAGTTGGCTACGTTCGTGTAAACCCCTGGCTTATTTTCGGATGCGCAACTACCTCCCCAAGAAACGATACCACGTAGCACCCCGTCACACATCAAAGGACCTCCCGAATCTCCCTTATGGAAAACATTTTTTTTAAAAAGAGAACGTATAAATGTAGAGTTATACTGTAAAGTGCGAAATGCAATAAAATCTATCTTTTTTATATATTTATTGATGGAATCACGCTGTCGCCTCCGATCTACTATATAACATTCTCCTTAGAACGAGAATAACCAAGTTGACTTCAAAAAAAATATGATCCTTGCTGAATTTGAGCCCAGAATTATCGAATTAGCAAGCCACGCTTTTATCGCATGGGCGACAGACGCTTTCAAAAAAAATTACCATCTTCTAAATGTATATTTATAACCAAATGTAGCAGTCTCGATTCAAATAAAGAATTGGGTTAACACAGAGACATTGGCAATAACCATTATGTGGAGGGGTTTTAGCATACATTTTATAATTCATTGACTTCGGTTTATAAGAAGTTTATAAAACTCTAATCATTTATGTTGGCCGTTTATCTTAGACCAATTTATTCGGCAAACCCTCTACTCTTTCAAATTTCAGATCAATGAGCTTTTGTCTATTTTTTTTTAATTTATACACTCTCCCAATTTCTCTAATTTATTAAAAGCTTTAAACTTCTTATTATAAAAATGAAAGTATAGTCTATATTATAGGTAGGCATGGCTAAAACCGGTAAAAAATTTTAAAAAAAAATTTCAGCAAAAACAAATTTTTTTTTTAGCATAATTAGAAAGCTTGCTTTAGAAAATTGTTTAAATTTTGGCCCGTCTCGCAACCACTCCATGCTATAATAATTTTGTTTGCGTATTTTTCGCCCAACCATTATTTAGTTTATATGTCTTATTAGTTTATATGAATGTAATGAGGTAATTCGAACATATTCTAATATGACATATATATATATACTAAATATCTTCAATATAAGAGGGAAATATAAAAAAGATGATGAACAAAAAGTGGGTAAGGCTCGAATGGATAGAACATTTGAAACCAAATGGAAGATGGAAAGAGATTTTTTCTCAAAAATCACGGGCAAGCCCTTTATATGCCAAAAAACTCTCAACTTAGGAAAAGGCGTTTATTTAATTTAAAAAAATAGTAACATAGCTGCCTGAAAAAAAATGTCAAACTGAGAATAACATATAATCGGACGCACTGCTACTCACGATGTGGTCCAGTGCTATTAATCCTAGGCCTACCTAAAATGAAATAAATTTAATTTTTAAGGTAAAAAAAGAAAAGACTGACCCTAGTTAACTTTTTTTTAAATATAAATTTCGAAATTTCATAAATTAATCAATATATATGTTCCAAAAATATTTTTTTAATGAATAATTTAGGCAAATTAGGGGAAGTGAAAGCGAAAGAATTTATAATTTCGTCAATATTTAAATTACTTTTAAAATGATCATTCTTGGTATACTAAGAAGCAGAGTTGTTAAAAGATACTTTTTAAATGGATCTAGATACAGATACAACGTCTAAAATAATATCTAGATACAGATTATTTAATCAAAAATCTATCTAGATATAGATACCACATTTTTATATCTAGATAGAGGATCTAGATACTTGTATCTAGATCCTTTAACAACTCTGCTAAGAAGCCTTGCTTTATAATTTGTTTCTTACAACATTTTTAACATAGCTGAGTAGGAAAGCTATTGCTTCTGATTTCGAAACATCACGTGTACCTCAAATATAGTTCGGATTTTAATCTATTTTGATATCCTTTCTTTTTGCATCATTTATTTTTGATATATATATATATAATTTGAAAATATATTGCAAAAATTTGAAAATATATTGCAAAAATTTAAAAATAATTTTAAAAAATTCAAATTTGAGTACTTCCCCCCCCCCCTCATTTAAATCTTAATTCCCCCCTCCCGTTGTAGGGTTTACTATACTATACTACTGTCGGAATTTCTGCCCATCCTATGCAACGCTGTAACATTATAGAATAAGAAAAAATAGAAGATTGGAAGAAAACGTAATCATTACTTGACAAGCATCTACGCCGCCGAAATCTTCCCCGGCACAAATCATATTTTCCGTAACCAGAGAATCATAAATGTTAGGTTTATTGCACTTTTCGTTGCTCCAGGAAGGAAAGCAACCCTCGTTGAGTTTATTTTCATCACCGTATCCTACATATTAAAAATAAAAAACTTTCATTGGTTAGTAAATAGAAATTTTTTTTAAAAAAAAGTATAAACTCTTTCTTTCCTAATATTCTATATAATCATACGGGGGTTGGTCTGAGCTCTTCCCACTGATCGTGGAATCAGAAAATGGATACATCTAGAATAGTGAAGGTCACGGTCCGGTCTTTGTTCCGGACTGGACCGATACCCTTGGACCGGACCGGACAACGGTCCTTAAAAAAGATCGATCCAGACCATATTTTTTTTACCTAATTTAATTTGTTTTATCATTTTATTAAATGTAAGAGTATTATATAAACAATATAAAATTAATTATGAATAATATAATAATTAATACAAATATTTAATTTAAATAAATGCTAATGTCTTTGTTTGTAGAACTTCCTTGGAAGGAATTAGAAGAGGGACTTAATGGAGGCGGTAGATCTATTCCATTCTTTAACCAAGAGCCCATACACATCAAAGCTTGTATTGTTTTGTTTGAAAGTCTATTCCTTTTTTTAGTGACAAGATCTCCTGCTTTCGAAAATATTTGTTCACAGGGGACAGATGTTGCTTGAATTGCTAAAAATTTTTAGCTGCTAATGAGAGGACTGGAAATCTATGTAATAAACTATATAGACTATTTAAAAAATATAAAAGACCTTTCACTATTGGTTTTCCACCATACTAATATGTCATCCTTTAATGAAACAAGAGGTTCATTCAAATAGGTGTGAAGTTCTGATTTAATTTCTTCAATGATTTCTGCTGATATATAATCCCCTTCTGAATTTCTTTTTTGGGATAAAATTCTTTCTAAAAAATTAAATTCATTGATTTCCTCCTGGCACAAATGTTTGGAAATTAGGATTTAATAAATAAATATTTAAAATATACCTGAGAATCCGTTATTCCTGT